ATGAGCTTAAGCTGTTAAGTGATTTACCAAAGCCTACAGTTGTGAAGTTAAGCAGGGACTAGAACCCAGGATTATACGTTGCTTAATGACTATTACCTCTTTGTTGCAACCCAGCAGTTGTGTTGCATCTGTGTTCATTGTCACATAATTCCTGCCAAGATAAAGATCACGGTAAGTACTACCTCAGGTGACTGTACTGACAACTTCTTTCATGGCTCCTGATTGGTCCTCTATTTGGGCACGCTATTTAAGCCCAGCAGGAGTTCCAGGAAGTGTATATGTGACAAGGTGGATTCCCCTGCCAGCCATAACAACTGACCTACTTCTTTGCTTGCTCTCAGACTTCTAGCCCTGGTTATTACCCTTGGCTTTGATTCCTGGTTCCTGACTACACCTTTGTCCTTTGGTGCTGTTCTTATCCTCTGACCACCACTACTTAGACCATTAGGCCTTTCAAGGGCCTGTGGCAAGGGTCTGTGGCAGACAATTAATGTTCAGAATATTCTGATACTCCAGACCATGCCAACAGTCAGAACAGTTACCCAACTGCTTCAGAGAGTCTGAAAATTAGCTCTGTAGTTCAGTGTTTTGCATGGGTAAATAGAGAGATTACATCAACCATTTTGCACCAGGCTTGTTGCTTTTTGAAAGCATGTACAATTTTTTCTCTCTGATTTTCCTACAGACATCAACCACAGTACTTTCCTGTTGCTGCTTTTAGGGCTTGCATTTTATTTACTTATTAATTAGATTGTTAAAGTCTCTTTATTTTTCTCAGTTTTGGTGGTATGGAGAAGGGCAAGTGCTTACCTGCTTGTCCTTGTAAGACAGTAAAACAAAGCAGCTGATACCTCAATTTGCATTTATCCTATGGTGTATAAATTGGCAGTCTAGTAAAGCCAGGTGAACATCTGGAATTTCTGAGTTTTGTAACTTACAAGCTGCATGAGAATGAGAAATCATCTGAATTGCATTTTATCCCTCTGAATTTTAGCCACACATTACTACATTTAGATGCTATGTTATGTGCTGGGTGGAGGGTGCTGCTATGGAAGGAAGGGAGGGGAAAGTTCTGGCCTGATTGAACAAGATACACTATTGTAAACAGTTAAAACTAGTTAAAAGTGTGGTTTGTGTTAGGGTTGAAAACACTGATAGACTTACTTCTCTTATATATATGATTGATTTTAATTTAGCCTAAAAGAGTCAATAGGATGATATCTAACTGAAGCTGAGAGGAAAACATGAGGGGTTCAACTCTCCTGACATTTCTTGGTATCATTTTGTATTTAAAAAGGAGAAGAATGAGTCAACTGAGAGAGTTTGGTAAATAAAATACTAGATAAAATCACAGGTTGGGTTGAAAAAGGCTCCTGGGCAAGCTAGAAAAGTACTGTGGGATTGTCTTGTATTGTGTGTAAAAACTGTCTGAATTTTACCTAACACATTTAGAACAGCTCTTGTGTCAGTTCTTAATTCACTTTCCTGGTAACACAATTCAGCACTTCACAAAAACAACAGTCTAGCAGCACCTTGAAGACTATCAAAACATGTAGGTGGTATCATGAGCTTTCATGGGCACAAACCACTTCTATTCTTCACAGTTAGCTTTGATTTAATTTTATTAAATTGCCTTATTGTATAACTCCAGCAGTTGCACATGACCTTCTCTCTGCCCTTCCAGCAGTCACTTTTAACTTACTCTTTATTGTAAAAACTAAACTGGGAACTGTTCATTCTCCAATCTTAGTTGTAACAGAAACTAAACTGAAAGTAGAATAGAGATAGAAATGTAACCGTGTTAGTCTGGTGTAGCAGGAACAAAAAACAGGACTATGTAGCACTTTAAAGACTAACAAGATGGTTTATTAGGTGATGAGCTTTCGTGGGCCAGACCCACTTCCTCAGATCAAATAGTGGAAGAAAAGTGGCTGTTTAGCCACAAACTGCTATAAAAGGGTTAGCTAAACTTCTGGGAAATAAGGGGAGGCAGAAAGAGCCCACATAGTCAGGGGACTCTTTAAAAGGATTTTTAAAAATATAAAAGAAATAGTAAATAAATGAACCATACTTTAATAGTATGTCTTAATTTTTCTTTACCCCACACTTCCACTGTAACCATTGTTCCCATTAACAGAGTATCGGTGCACTTCAGTCAAACACATGTTCAGGCTTAACACTTCATAATGCACATGGTATATTCATCAATATTCTACTCATGTCCTTGAGTCCTTTATTGCTGCATCAGTGAATGCCCAGCAAAATCAACGAAGGGAAGGTGATGGAGTTAATCTATCAAAACTTGAGAGTGGTCTGGTATGCAAAGCTATCGACGAGGTTTTCTTGTTTCATAGAATTTGCTGGATGCCAGTCAAATCACCAAACACAGGGTTCAGAGATTCCAGTACATGTTGAAGCAAAAATTAAAAATGGTCCCATTCATGACTGAGTACTTGAATGTTTTAAAAATTGCTAAGATTGTTACCTGAAGTACCTTTTTTTAATTGTGGCATAAATTGTTACTTATAGATTACTACTGGTGTCCGCATACAGAAGCCTGTACACTCAAGTGGCTTTTGTTTTAAAACTGTAGTTATGGTAGTGAAATGATTGTTTTTGTCATTGTGGCTGGTTACTGTGGAGACAGTGCAAACAAATGTTACTATGTCATGCTACCTATTTATTTTCTATACTGTCACCACAGCATTTTCTGTATGTTTTTTTCACCCTGTTGATGCTGGCTGTTGGTGAGTTTGTGCCATTGATGAAGAATTCTTTAGCTTTTATCCCCACCAAAATTCTGAAAAATAAAAACAAATGTTATTTTGAATATAGTCACACTCTTCACAATAAATAAAATTTAATAATCTACAAGTTCTCTTATTGCTTTTTACTTTATTTCTATTTCTTTATTTTTTTCTCTCCCTCTTTTTCTTCCACTTTGCTTTGATTTTCTGTCCATTTTTTCCTTTCCAATGTTAAGTAGGTTGTCCCGTATCTGTCTTCTGTTCTTTCTTTCTCTAGAGTCTAATAGTCTTTTCCCTTGGCTCTCTCTCATGCCACTTGTGACTGACATGGCACTGCTCACTCTGCTTGGGGTCTCTGATAGTGAGCCACTGCTTCTGATTAGGGTTGCAAGGTGTACGGTTTTCACCCAGACAGTCCGGTATTTGCAGGCTTCGTCCAATAAAAAAAACAGGAAATACCAGACATGTGCAATGTCCGGTATTTCCCGTTCCCCTGGGACAGAAGCCTGGTGGGGACAATTTTCCCCTGCCGCATCTAACGGGGCGGGGGAGTGAGGAGCATGGTGGAATCTAGCAAAAGGGGGGCAGGAGGGGGCACGTGCCACGCTAGGGGGGCACCGGGCTGGGCTGGGATGGGCTGGGCTGAGAGCGGAGTGCATGCTGCTCTGGCCTGCCTCAGGGGGAAGGGGGAGTGCACTGGGATGGGGCGGACGCTAGGTCGGGGCCTGGCTCTGAGGCAGGGGTGAGTTCACTGGGATGGGGCGGCACTAGGGGGGCCTGAGTCTGAGGCAGAGGTGAGTGCATTGGGATGGGGAGACTGGGGGGCCTGGTTCAGGGGGAGGGGTGGGTACATTGGGGGTTAGTGTGTGGTCCCAAACTGGAGGGAGTGGTGCAACTTTTGCTTAACAACTTTGGCTCCCCCCCCTCCTTTTTTTTTTTTTGCTTAACACCTTTGGTCTCCCCCTTTTTGTTTTCTTTGACAGAATTTTTTCCCAGTGTGTTGTGTTTGGGGGGGGGGTTGTTTTTGATTTTTGCCCAGAGGGGAGGTATTCAGTATTTTTTTGTTAAACCATCTGGCAACCCTGCTTCTGAAGGGATCCAGTGCTGTGGAACTATAGCTTTCTGGCTATAACACCCTTCCATTCCCCCCTTTCAAGGTAGCAAAGTCCTAGAACAACAGGAAACAAGGAACTCAAAAGAGATTAATCTGGCAATTTTTTGTTGGGATCCTGCCCTTCAACTCAGGGCCTGTTTTCAGACAGGCAATTGTTTGGCTGGCCTTACTGGGCCTGGTCTCCCTATTTACAGGGAGGCTTGCTTAGCTAGCCAGCAGTGCCAGATTTTTTATACCGCAGAAACAGTGGAGATCTGCACTATGGCCTGGAAAGCCTCCAACTTAACTATAGTCGTGTTCTTTTAACTCCCCTCGCCATTCCTGAGAGATGCTACAGAAGTATCAGGACAGGGGAGGCCTAGTTGGGACAGTCCTCACCCAGCCAGTCTGGGCCTTCTGCTCCCCATCACTCCCTCCACCCTTTTCTGTTATATCAGTGTCTTTTTGTCCCCATCCCCAGTTTTTTCCATATCTGGGAGCCCCTTTTGGATCCCCACACTTACTGTTTTTTCTTGCTTCTCCCCACCAACTTTCTGATTCACATTTTCTTTTCCTCCCTTCCCTGAGTGTCCTCCTCCTGCCACAAAGTCACTCTGGAGAGCCAGCGAGCATGGGAAGTTCTTTTAGGTCCATTGGCTGGTGCCTTTAGGAGCTCTAAGATTGAAGGGATTACTGCTTCTGCTTCTCTAACTTTTCAGGGGATTTTAAAGGTCCCTCCTATGGCTACTGGCTATTCCATCTCATTGCTTTGTCTTCCCTCCTTTGCCAGGGCTCCTCTTCCCTCATATCTTCTATTTCCCAGCCCTTTGAGGTT